GGGGGGGGAGTTGGTGGAGGGGCCAGGCTTCCTATCGTCCTTCCACGGGGAAGTCGTTGTCGAAGGGCGCATGGAAGGAGGGTGGTAGACTGCCCTCCAAATCCCCGTCGACGGTGACCTATAAGACACCGTCATTTCGATGGAGGATTTGTGGCACTGTCGTAGAATGGGCTGCGTTCTCACCTTATTGTCGCCTTCTCCCCGTGTACCATTCTCGTCGTCCACCCTTCTCGTCGTACTATCACCTTCTCGCCATATTGTCGCCTTCTCCCCGTCCACCCTTCTCGCCATACTGTCGCCTTCTCGCTGTGTACCATTCTCGCCGTCCACCCTTCTCGCCGTGCTATTGCCTTCTCGCCATACTCTCGCCTTCTCGTCGTCCACCCTTCTCGCCATATTGTCGGCTTCTCGCCGTGTACCATTGTCGTCGTCTACCCTTGTCCCCGTGCTATCGCCTTCTCGGCGCCTACCCTTCTCGTCGTCGTCATGCCTGCGTTCGCAACGACGCTGGAGTGCGTGTGACGCCGCTTCCACCATCGACATCGACACCTTTGACGCAAGGGCCATCGACGTCATCATCTTGTTTTGCCTTGGACGACTCGCCCGCGATCTTTTCGTGACCGTCACCTACCGCGCCATACACACCGTCTTCTAACTCGTCATCATCGTCGACTACGACTTCATCATCCGCGCGTTCGAAAACCGATCAAGATCTTGATTCGCCTACCGTGCAGCTCGTCGGGCACTCTGTGTGGTTGTGGACGTTTCGCGAGTATCATTGGAGGTGCGGGTGTCGGAAGCGACATGTCGTCCCACGGTGGTGGACGGGGGAAGGTTGCCACCAACCAGGGGATGAAGGTCGCCATCAAGTGAACAAGAAGTAGAAGGTCGTTGAAGGCGGCCCCGCCGGTGGTGGGCGATACGTAGAAGACGAGTGGGTGGGGAAGGAGCCGAGGAACAACGAGGACGACGACTTCGAAGAAGAGGAAGAATCGCTGAAGAGGAAGCCAAGGGGGAAGACCGCGGGGGTGGTCAAAATCAACGAGGGGGGAAAGGAGACACCTGGTCAACAGCACGGCGGTGGAGGCAGCGCGGGTGCAGAGGCTGATGTCATCTTAGTCAAACGCGACGTGGCATGCAGGGAGATCGCGGGTTGTCCGAAGGACGGGGCCGTTGCGCAAGACACTGCGCAGCGCCCGCAGACGCCAGTGAACCGCCGCAACCCCCCACCTGCAAACGTGGTCGGGAGTTCGCAAGTGCCATCCCAAGGGAACGCGGTGCGCTCTTCTGCATACGAGGCGCGCGGCGGCGGTGTCGAGGCGGCGCAAGACGCGGGGGAAGGTGTGAGGGCAGGGGATGGTGGTCCCATTGGGGAAGACGACGAGGCGCTGGTGCACAGGCTGCGCGCGCCACGTGAGTCGTCACATGCAATGCAGGGAGCCGCCAAACTTTGGGAGGATGACATGTGTTTCTGGAACGAGACGCAAGGGAATGCCATTGTGAAGATCATTAAGGAAGCGCGCACGCATCTCGTGGGAGTGGCGCGGGGAGTGCAGCCTCCGGCTGTGTGGAGCAGCATCGCCCTTCCGCACAACACCATCCCGCAGCACAAAATAGAAGACGAATCGGAGTTGAATGCGGCGAAGGAGAGGGCGGTGAAGGTGCAAACAATCGCGTTGAGGGTTATCCACGGATGGATCTTCAAGTCGGAGAGCAGACAGAGGGGGTAATACTTAGCGTACCAGTACGCCTTGAATCACGCCTCCACTGACATCGCAAGAGCGATGTGGGCAGGAGAGGACTGGGACAGTTTGGTGAGCCCAATGGTTTTCCGCACAACTCTCGACATGGACATGAAGTTGCCTTTGTGGTTTGTCGGCGCGGGCATTGTAGACAAGCATGAGGAAGATGAGTGTGAGGCCTACCAAGAGGCGAGTGTGCAGCAACTCATAAGGGATTTCACGAGCTCGGTGGGGATGGCCAAAGGGATCGACGACGGGCGCGTTTCTTACGAGCGTTTAAAATGATGGCGGAGGCCATGAGGTATTTGCTCGCTGCGACGATGTGGATCATGCGGATGGCAGGGGATGATCTGAGATCGCATTACGACGCCTAGGTGTTCGTGCAACTGACAACGAAGCCGATGCTGCCTGCGTCCATGCATCGGGCATTCGACGCCCCCCGCCACATCATCCAAGCCGCGCAAGTCGTGACAGACAAGTTGGGAAGACCTCCTCCGACGTTCGCCCCCCCCCCTCTCCACATCCCTGATTGGGCTGAAAAGTGCGGCGTCAAATTCTCGCATGACGCGACATTGGCCTCCCCGATGGAGGCGAAGAAGTTGGATTGGCTGAGGGCAGGCCCCCCCGACGACGAAGAGGAAGACGACAACGTTGATGAAAAAGGCGAGGGAGCTTGAAGCACAAAAGATCGCGCCCGTCTTCGACGTTGACGTCGAATGCGCATTTGGGGTTTCGTAGACGGGCTTTTGGCGGAGACGGCCATCGGGGTATTCTTGTCGAGATGATCAGTCTTCGCCGCAAAAGATAGCTGAAGCGGGATGTGGTGTGTCTTCCATTCGTCTATGGAGTGCAGGTTGTCGTCGACTCCCGCGTCTTCGTGCTCTGCCATCGGTTGGTTGACGATGACAGACAAACACAAGTACTCGTTCCACGCCACGCTCAACTGTACATCTATGTATCCCCTCAGCCGCGGTCGAGTTCGGGCATGGCCGCGACCGCCGGCCGTGGTCGGGACCCCTCCGGTCATGGCCGCTCCGGTCACGAACTTTCGGCCGAGGCCGCGGCCGATCGGGGAGCGGGTTTGGGGGGCGGGGAGTGGGTTTCGAGTCGGGGGGGGCTCACCTACCCCCTCGCAAAAAAAAAAACATAAAAACTTCAAAAACGGGGGGGTGGAATTTGGGGATTTTTTGAGGGGGGGCGGATCATTCTGGGCTATGAATCCCCCGCGGTCATGACCGCG